GAACCACATTCTAATGATCTGAGTTTCCCCTTTATATCATTGTGTATATACATGTTTTGCTTGTGTTACAGTTCTGCACTTCGGCCTAGAAATCCAAAGTTAGAGTTAAAGCTGCACTAACTTACTTTGTGAAATTTTTGAATGTGAGCGCCCCACTATCCCCCTCCCACTCAGCCTGTGCTCACATGCTAGCTAATTGTTTACGGAGCTCACGTATCACAATATGGATCGCACATTGTGAGATTTGGGCGGCACGGAGTGGATAGCACTCTCTGCTCTCAGCAAGAAGGTCCTGGGTTCTGCTTAGGTTTCCTCCGGGTACTCCGATTTCCCCTACCACAAAAAATATGTACAATAGGTCTGGCCAAAAAATAACATTTGTAAACCGCTTTGTGACTCTGGTCTGTGAAAGGCGGTATATAAATAAACACTTACTTACTTACATTTGAACATGGCGTGACCATAGAATGATAGAACCGGGAGGAACGAGACTTTCTTTTGGATGCTACCTCAGCTGTCTGTGCTAACAAGAGACCTGTAGCTTTTCTCAAGAAAGTGGGGGCCAGTGGTCCGCTGTGATTGGTCATAATCTGGACCCGAAACAAATTATCTTCCTTGTTGCACGAAATCTAAAATAAAATGACACTCCAGCACAAACCTGCACTACTTTTTCTTCAAAAGGATGTATATTCCAATGCATTGCATTGATATGGATTGAATTTTTGTAATGAATACAATAAAAAAGTGAGGTAACGCAGCTTTAAGAAGCATTTACAGATATTTATGTATGTGTCTTTTTTTAGTGCTCTTTATTCTTACTGACTGCTCCGTAGTGCACTGCAACACTGTAAATGGAGAATCTCTTATCTTATCTGGATGCTTTGAAATATGTAACTTACCACATTTTGCTGATGGAAAATCAAGTGTTTCAATGAGATCACAATTCAATATTTACCAGCACACATTACTCTGCCCCATAGTTACACATTATGTACAGTATACATTAGCGTTACGACTTACAGATGCATACATTACCAGGCCATTCCAACATGCCATCTCCAGCTGATGGATACCAAAGTAGCGGCTCAATGAGGCTACTTTACTCTCCATACTTTTAATGACGTGATGTGGAAAGTGTTGGGACTCACAGACACTCAGACCTCCGCAGAATACGGATTAATCAATATACTCTCCACTGCAGGCGAGTACATGATGCTATGGATCACATCTGTAATAAAGAAGAAGGACTTTTCTCTTTTCACTTTGCTTCAGTCCCAGGTGAGCCATGACAGAGAAATGGATGGGACACTAAAGGTTTCTGATAGTGTTTAGAGGAGGAGATAATGAGTGCAGACCAGGGTAGAGTCTAATCATCCAAATTAACGTGGATATTTTTAATTGATACCACACCATATGTTTTTAGGTACAGAAGTGACAGCATGGAGGACAGTCACACCCCCATCATTGAGTTTATTACTTAAAGAAGCATCATAATCTATGTTGTTTGTCCTAACAGAAAGAATGTATTAGAAATGACTTTTGCATAGTTTTGTGAGTGAGAATGTGTTTTAGAAATTTTAAGAGTGTAATTGAATTCAGCAGTCGTTTCAGAGGACTTTGTAAAAAAACGATTTCCTAACAATAGATCAGAGATTTGCAAATCGTGCAGAAGCACTGGATATGCAGTAATAAAACAAAAACTTATGATCTTTAGGTCTATAGGGTAGCAGGATGACCAACGTCCGTCAATGTTCATAAACAGTGTAGTTATTTTGTGTTTTTTACTTTTTTAACCCAAACCAACACATTTTTTAGAATTATATGTCCCCATACATGAAGGGACAGTAGCTCAGTTATAGAGCATTGGCCTTTGAGCCAGAAGGTCGTGGGTTCGAGCCCGACTTTCACCATCAACTCCCACTGTCTGCTGTCGTTGTGTCCTTGGCACGACACTTAACCTCTGGGAACACCAGCCACAGTGGGGCGGCTGCGGCTGTAAAGTCCCAAACTGCTGTTGTGTCCTTAGGCAAGACACTTTACCCCCATTGCCTAGACTGAGTCTGGTGTGTGTGTGTGAATGGTTGGTGGTGGTCGGAGGGGACGATAGCACATACTGGTTGCCTCGCTTCTGTCAGTGTGCCCCAGGGCAGCTGCGGCTACAGCAGTAGAAGTAGTTTATCACCACCGTGTTTGGAGTGAAAGAATAATGACATGAAAAGCGTCTTTGAGTGTCCAAAAAAGCGCTATATAAAACCGATGCATTATTATTATTATTATTAGGTCTGAGCCCACAGTCCTCCTCACAGTCCTCTTCCAGCCCTGAGCCCTCTCCTCCACAGTCCTTCCTCAGCTCAGAGCCCTCTCCTCCACACGGTCCTCCCCCGGTTTCTAGAAGCCATGAGCTCACTCAGTCCAAACCCATTGTTCTTACACCAGTCACTGATCTGCAGCTGCAAAGACCTCCTGCAATACAATATTGTTCTACAAAACAATCAGATGACATATTACATGAAAAAACAGATTCTGGGATTTCCTGGTGTAATGGGGGTAAAATACATGCAAACATATAGTGTATTATAATTAAACAATAGACATCATTTATCAACATTTTAGTGAAATGAATCACACCAGACTCATTCTAATGGTGGAGTGTCTTGCCAAATGGACACAACAACAGTTTGGTACTTTCAGCCATCCCACTGTGTCACCTCAGATGTTCTCAGAAGTCTCCCATCACAGTATTGACCAGGCCCTACCCTGCTCAGCGTTAGTGATCTGACAGGATCTGGCTCACTTGCAGGTATGAACAATTATGTTGATAACATTCTGAAACCTAATCATAGAATCTGAAGGCCCTCTCCTGTTTCACACCTCATGATGTACACACGTGCTAAGCTCAGATCATCAAGTTAACCCGGGGGTTAACTTGTATAAAATGCAAATAGAGAGAGAGAGACTTTTTTACCCCAAAGCAAGAACCAGCTAGACCCCCCCCATGATACACAGACGAGGCCCCTCACCATTGGTCTTACTATTCTCCTTGCCGCTGGAGGTTATGTCAAGGATAATCTAACATTTATTTTCTAAGATGCTACATGAACATATGGTCAAAGAAATGCAAATTAAATACAAATTAAGTTAGTGAAATCATAATAAAAAGTTCCGGAAGCATTGCACAGGAATTTTGGGTCCAAGGAAAAATATCTCTTGTGACCACGTCTTTGAGCGATAAAGCGGCAGTGGTTAGAACGTTTGTTTCACAGCAAGAAGGTCCTGGGTTCGATTTCACTTTCAGGCCTTTCTTTGGGGAGTTTGCATGTTCTCCCTGTGTCTGCGTAGGTTTCCTCCAGGTGCTCCGGTTTCACCTACCACTAAAAATGATAGGTACAAATGTAATGAGTGAGTGAATGGTGTTTGTTGTGTACACCAGCGTGTTTGGCTTCTCGCTTCTGTCATCAACGTCTGTGGCAATAATGGAAAAATATCTGAACTCTCAACAATTGTAAAGCGCTTTGGGTGACATTGGTCTGTAAAATGTGCTAAATAAATAAAGATTACTCACTTACTTACCAAAGCAGAAGTGCGCAAGCTCAATATTGAGATTTCGCAAGCCACATGTGTCATATTATCAGGAAAAAAAGCATGTTGTGTCTCTTTTAAACTAACGTGTAACTTCCACCCGCGCTCTAACCGTAGACGTCGTTTCTTTTTCCACTCCTCACATCAAACAGCCCCCGCAGTGCTTTCAGAGCCTCCTTGTTGACACACTGCAGTTAGTTGTAGGCCATTGCTCTGTGAGAGGAAGCCTGTTTTATCTTTAGATTGTGCGCTGCTATTTATACCCAGAGGAAACAGTTGAAGAATGTGTGAGTGGAACAGCCCAGTGTATCCGGCTGTACAGCAGAGAGCAGAAGAAAGCATTGGGACATAGACTATAAGGAACAGCCACATCCACTTCTGGTTTGGTCCTGGTTTGGTCCAAGTTTGGTCCTACAGTTTGGTCCTGGTTTGGTCCTGGTTTGGTCCAAGTTTGGTCCTACAGTTTGGCCCTGGTTTGGTCCTGGTTTGGTCCTGGTTGAGACGGTTCAGTGCGGATACTTCAAAGCTTGGGTTACTGTGAATAAAACAATTAGGAGTTATTCATGACATACAACAACAACAAAATTTCTTTTAAAGCAGACATGTCCCACAAAACTGTTTTTGTGGCTCCTGACGTGATTTTTACATCTACTATGGCATGTTATATTGAATCAATTCAAATAATTAGTTATAGCTTAATAAAAAATACTATCAGTTTTGGTTCAGTTAAACATTTCTGATGTATTTAGTTCAGAAATATCTACCAGAAAATAATAAATAATAATGAATAATGACATCATGGAAAGAACCTATAAAAACAACAGTAATACCTCCATGTTTTGGAGAATTTCTCCATTCAAATTATGTTCTTTGTTATGATAAAAAAAAATTAGAATCATTTGTTGCTATTTTTTTTTTGCCATGTTTGTTTTTGTTTTGTTCTTACCATAAAGTGCTGTTTTTTAGTAGACCTGATTTCTTTAATCATATATTTTGTACTGAGGAACATATTGCACTACTTACAGTGCAAGTACATGACCTAAGTACAATGTGAGAAAAATAGAAGCAAACAGTTCTGAGACCGAGGAACTTGAGCATTTCTAGATATTTATTAACATTTCTGGACAGTGGTCATCCCGCCCCCTATGGACCAATGGCTTCTATGTGTGTGTGTTTTTATTGCATTCTTGTGTTGGTGAATCAACAACTTTAAGTCCTCTGAGATAACTGTTGTTGTGATAACTGTGTTGTGATATAGGGCAATACAAACAAAAATGTAATCGAATTGAATTGAGAGGTATATTCCCCAGATTTAACTTGGGAAAGCTTGAGTGTTTCTCGCCACACTCTAAATGTTGAATGAGTGGCGTTGCTCGGGGATCAGCAGACATTTTACTTATTCACACATGTGCCAGACACAGATGCTGATGAGGATGGGAGGTGGCAGGCGTCTGTGGAGGGCCCCGCAGAGGAGGACCCCGCCAGGAGGCCGCATCAGCTGGGACTCGCCCATGTCTCCAGGTGTATGCCCCCGCTTCTCTCCACCAATCAGGCTCAGTATCAGATCTCTGGGGGCGGGCTGTCCGAGCACATCTGTCAATCACACGCAGACAGTGGAAGTTTGGAAGAGCCGCCAGAGGTTTGGACTTTAAGAGTGGTGGCCTTTGTTCGGACTTGTTACAGAAGATTACTGCCAGACTTTCAGGAGAAATTAGTCATTAAAGTCTGTTAAAACCAATCTGTAAACTCTGTTTCTGCAGAGTCCTGGACTAAGTGATATTAATGTTAAGAGGGATCATTTGATGTCTGCAAAAGGCATCAATAGGACCAGTATTTTTTTGTAATTTATTGTTTTGATTTTGCCCAAACAAAAATTGCCAAAGTCATCAATAGAATTATCATTGCTCTTCTACATAAAAACGTAAAGAGTGCGTTTACAAAGCACTAATACAATCCACCACTTTCTCCAATTTGATCCAATTGGTAAAGACGCTTAGTTTGGTTTAGTTTATTGGTTTGTGGTTTTGTAACAGGGACAATGTACAAAACCATTAGTCTTTACTAAAGAAGAGTTGATCAGCACCAGATTTAGCTACGGCTATTTACATCTGTAGTGCCCGGGCAGGTGAACACACATAGGTAAACACACCACAATTATATAAACAAACTTACCTCACAATATAATATAATAACTTTAGCCCTTTTGCCCTGGGGTGGGACTGATTGTTTTGTTATGGAGTGTTAGATTAAGATTAAGATTAAGATTAAGAGATCCTGTATTCGTCCCACAGTGGGGAAATGTCAGTGTTGCATCACCGGTTACAGTAGGAATGAATGAAAAGCACATAGGCGTACAAAGCTCTATACTAGATTAAAAAACTCTCTACTAAATATAATAACATAACATATCTATAGCTTTAGCATACTGTATGAAGGAAGCAATCTATAATCTCTAAATTTAGCATTATGAAGAAGCAAGAATTAAGTACAAAATATCTGATGTTAGTATAATAAAGAAGTATAAAAATGTCTACCTTTGGCCTTCTTTTGTGATGTAAAATACTGTATATCCTAATGAATTGAATATATAGTTGTATACATCTGTACATGTTAGCAGCATGCGGGCCTGGGACAACGTGACAGTGGACACATGTGGTTTGATAACAGTTACAGTGTGTTTCAAATCAAAAGAACGGTGTGTTCTTACTGTTTGCATTCACAAAAGATCTGCTGCACACCTGTACGGATTCACCAGTTCAGGTGCAGTTCCAATGGGATGGCTGTACTGGCACCACTGTTTGAGACAGTGAGGTCCATCCTTCTGGTTGTAGTGATGAGGTCCTGGTCAAGAGGGAATCATTAATGGCCACTCATCCAACTTCTACTCATACCTGCTCCAATGTGTCTGTGTGTGGTGGGACTTGTAATCCAAGGCCAAGGCATTTGGACACAATGTATGAAAATGTTTTACGTTGTATTTAGTCATAATATTTGTATTTTGATCACATATTTAGCAATCCCTGTTTGAGGATATAAAAGTGTCACATGCTGTTCCTCACTCAAAAGTGAATTGTCCCCAATCAAGCAGAGCTGTATCTTAATCATATTTGAGTCAACAGATGTTTTGAAGCTGCAGATACATTTTCTAGAGTAGTAAAGTTCCTAATAAATAGCGCCTTTCACAGACCAGAGTCACAAAGCGCTTTACAGTTCTTGTGGGCATTTGTCTCTCATTCCACACAGATGGGAGCGGGGTTACCATACAGGCTCTTGTCCCTCTGCCTCATAATCAGATGTATACTGAAAAAAACCTTTCAAAATAGACATTGCAATTGTCATCAAATAACATTAAGTAAAAGCTTTACTGATGATGAAGCAGAATATCTTAAAGGATCTATGTTTTCAGTCTGTGGTAATCCTCAATCATATGATGTAAAATACTGTACATCAAATAAATGTAATCCTCTTGACAGTCTAATGTGGCATTACTGTGTTCTTATGATTTCTCATGTTGGAATAAAACAAGTGGGTTTGTGATTTGTATTTACAAAGCTAGAGCAGAGACTGATCTCATCATCTACAGAATTCAACAACAACAAAAACTATATAAGCATTTGTGCTTATACCCGTACTGTGAGTGCGGTCACCAATCCATAGATCTGACCTTTCCCTTTTCCACACTTTTATCACATCACAACCACGAATATAAAGGTGAAAACTATTGCAAAATGGTAGATCAAGATCATGGCAAGGCAAGGCAAGTTTATTTGTATAGCACAATTCATACACAAGGCAACTCAAAGTGCCCAACAAAACAATCATATGTGATGTAGTTTATTTGTGTTATTATACCATTATTAAAAGCTTGAAAAAATATTCACTCCATGATATAATACTTGATGAATTCCCTTTTTCTGCAATTACAGCAACAACTTAACATAGAGAGGAACAGACGTGTTCGTAACGTAACAACATGTCACTTAATAAATTATTCAAATCCAACCGACTAGAGTCATAAAAAGCAGACATCATAGAGGAACATAAATCTCAGATGGAAATGACCATGAAAAAACACGAGAGTGAAACTGATTTATTTGATCAAATATCGCAAAACACTGCGATACTGAACAGACTAGATTTTTTTCTCCCAGCACTAATACTTCTTGCATGGTTTAAAATAGTAAAGTTTTAGGGCCCTGTGCAGTCTGGGACTGTCACTGTTGAACTCAATCATCTTCAGTACATGTTTGTGACCTACGGACGCTCTTTATCCTTCCTAAAGTCTCAGCCGTGCAAAGTCTCAGTTCGGATGATGATATGGAGCAGACTTGAGAAAACATTTTTGCAGTAGTGGGAGGGGAGCTGTAATAAACAGTGGCCACAGACCACGCAGACACATTTGATCTCAGAGCCGTTTGTGTTCTAGCCCCTCCTGTAATGTGGCTTCTATTACACAAGCGTTAAACAAGCAACACAACTGGAATTAATGAGTGTGTCATATATCATGAGGGACATCAAACCCTGCTCTTATGCTCTCCAAACTATCAGGCTGTTTGCAGTTGTCTGTGACGGCTGATATAACCACCAGCAACAACACAGTCATATTCTTTGGAAGTCCAGAGTTTCACATGAGGTTTTTACATCTTTACATCCAGTAGAGATCATAATGTTGGCCTTGATGATCTGGACAATATTCGCTTGTTCCAACAGAACCCATGTGTTGAATTTATTTTATTATTTTTACACCACAGCCACAAGTTGTAAAAACAGGGGCTTATCTAATTTTTAGGCATAACTTTTGTTTTAAAAGGCAGAGAACGGCTCTGCTTAACGACATTGCTAACCTCCTATAAAGGAGTAATCTCCTTTAGCTCAGTGACTGTTTGTGTCACACACCATTTTGGGCTTATAGAATCTATGGTTCCGCAATGTCTGTGATCCCAGTGTTATATTTACGCCCGAGCCCCAACAAGGCACTGATGAAAAGATAGAAAGAGGACGAACACCAATCACAACCACAATAAATTCATTCATTTTTCTATTATTCTCTTTTGGATTTCTTTTGAGCGTGTTGAACTTGTAGGTGTGGTCAGCTGTGTGTCACTGCAGCAGACCTCGCCCTCATGACGTTGTTGCAAACAGCCTCTGACTGCTGTACTGCCTCTCGATCATAGCTGTCCAACAGTATCTTCTCTTTTAATCTGCTCGCTGCAGTTTTCTCTCTCTGCAAAGAGAAAATGTTTCACATTCTGGGTCGGGGGTGACAGTCAGCGCTGCACCCAATTCACAGAGCTCCACAGAGCAGCACTGATCCTCCTGCAGGTGGTGAGTCCACAGGGGGATGGCTGCTCATTCAATGAGAGCTTAGCCTTGATCTTTCAGCGGGGGCTTCAGGCAAAGTGGGGTTAAGTCTCTTGCCCAACGACAGCAGACATCAGTGGGAGTTGGTGGATAAGGTACCTGTGCTCCTCCCCATTTGTTGCTGTTTTTTTAACTTCCTGTCAAAATAAAAATCCTCCTGTTCCCCTGTGTTAATTGTCTGCCCCGCTCTAATGTGTCTCCCCTGTGTCTCTCTGACTACATGTATCTGTGCTCTTCCCCATTTGTTGCTGGTCCATTGTCTTTGTCCTGGTTCCTGAGTTTTGTTTGGTTTTTGGAGTTGGTTTTTCAGCTGGACTTTTATTTCATTATTATTAAGCCATTATTTTTGGCATTCCTGCATTTTGATTCCTCATTCATCTCACGATGTGACACTTATAATCTATGACAGTATTAAATCTGGTTCCATTTCTTTATGAGCAGCATAATTTCTATGATGTATTTTTACATACAAATATAAACACTGTATTTCTCTTTCTTTCAAGGAAAACAAAAAAATGTATCAAACACACAAAAAAGGCTTTATGTATACTGTAAGGCAAGACACGTATATTTGTAAATTATCGTTACATAACGTGCTGAAATATGTATATATTTTTCATATCTCATTTTGCTTTCACTTTACAGTTGTCCACTTTGCTGTGGTCTTCCCGTATACCTTTTATATAGGAAAATCGTTCATTCAATTTATCACAAAGACATAAACACAGGTCCAGTATCAGTAATCATGTTGAATTGTGCTTTCTCTCACATTATACATGAGAAGAATGCAGTGGACGTTCAACCCAAGGTGAGACATGGACAGATTTCATTAGAGGAGCTTCTGAATTGAGATATGAGCCTGATGAGTGTGACAGAACTCCAGGGGCCTGGCCAGAGTGTGTGGAGAGGAGAAGGGGGCCTCTGAGACACTGGCAACCATGGCCTCGAGTTGTTTATGACAAATGCCACGTCCAGGTGGGACTGAGGAGCCTTTTCTCAGCGGAAAGAGCCCGAGGTGAAGGATGGTAAACAGGGCTGCACCAGCACAAGCACCAGTGTCCCAGAGGAGTGGCTCTGAGCAGCTGGATCATAGACACGGTAACGGAGTCACTGCTGCTTCTGCCACACTGTCTGAGAAGGCAGATGGAACGGAGGCTTCAAAAGTGATATTAGATTAGCTAAATATCGATACATTCAGATAAATTGCTGCATCTCAGTGATCTTATGCCAGGAGCTGGAACACGGCTTTTCCAGGGACCAGAAGAGTCATTGATTATTTGAAGAGGTCTCTCTCAGGTCTCCCTCTGGTCTCTCTCTGGTCTCACCACTCACAGTCCACTTTCAGAGCGGAGCACCTTGTTTAGCGCTCTCCTTTCTTTGGCTGTGATGTCACCGAACCACACAGTCACAAAACCAACAAGAAAACTTTTAATGGTGCACAGATAAAAGTGTTAGAGTTTGACGTAAATTCAACGTTTCCGCTTTCTTAACAACCTGGTTAGTGTTTTTGCCCATTTCAAGTCATTCGACAGAGTTGTGATCATGACCATAACATATGACATATCAAGGATAAAGGAGAAAATAACAACACAAAATGCACATTTCTCAACGTTTGTTCATGTTATAATTGTTTTCCCTTATCATTCCCACACTCACACTCGACTCATTCCTGTGACTTGTTCGATGCATCTGTGTTTCAAACTGCAGACCCATGTTTTTTGACCCGTGTGAAAAATTCTGCGTCAACCCGACACAAAAGTCTGTTTCTATTTCACTGTAATGATGTCCTCTTCTGACCCTGATCAGAAGTCGATGATCACATTACACTGAAATGAGAGTGGGAATTCACGTGTGCATGATTACACGGCTCACTATGCACTCATGAAAAACATTGCAATTGAGGAATTTTTCATAGTCATATCATAAGATGTATTAATGTATCAGCAACAAGCTTCTTTGTGCTTTTGTACCAATTGGAGGTCAACAGATTGGGAAAGAACTTCTTCAGAGCCCTGGGCATCTTGGAGGGTGTAGGCTCCCAGTCTCTTCTCTTATTTTTTTATATGTGACATATTAAAAATGCTGCGTTACAGTTGTGTTGTCAGGGTGTGACAGGGGCAACAAATGTGATATGATTTGTTGGATGTTGGGTGGAGTTTTATTCCTAAACTGAGGACCTGTTCGTATACATTGTCCTTTGTAATCTCCCTCAAAAATGAGTAACATCTTGGCAAATACTCCTTTATTGTTATTTTTACAACAGCAGCAAAAATCATTTACACTGACATTCTTCTTCCTCCATCGTGTATACAGTTGAGTTCTGGTGATAAAAACAACTATGGATCCCTACGTCACATGCTCTGTTGCTCTGGTAACCGACCATTGGACTATCCAATAGAGTGAAGAGGCCTTGTTTTTCCTGGTTTGGTTAGAACACACCCCCTAATCAGAGCCCAATGGATCAGTTTCTCCCTCTCTTTCAGACCAAAATTGTGAGGACAGGACAGGCTAGCTTTAAAAATATTTGTAAGAAGAAATAATTATAGTATGTAAGTAAGTAAGTAATGTTTATTTATATAGCGCCTCTTAGTAATAATGTTGGTTTTTAAATACCGCTTTATTTTTGGACACTCAAAGACGCTTCACATGTCATTATTCATTAACTCCAAACACGGAGGTGACAAACTACTACTGTAGCCAAGCCACAGCTGCCCTGGGGCACACTGACAGAAGCGAGGCAACCAGTATGCGCCATCAGCACCTCCAACCACCACCAACCATTCACACACACACAGACTCATTCTAGATAGATAGATACCCTAACACCCTAACCCTAACCCTAACCCTAACCCACAGGAGAAATTCAGGTGTCCAGTCGCAGCAAAAATAGAAAATAAAATTGAGGTCACAGCAGCAGAGGTGAAGTAGCCTCTGGGTGGAGCAGGACAGGTCAAAAGGTGGAGTAGCCTCTTGGTTCAGACCCTTTTCTCTGCTCTAGTCCAAAGTAAAATACTAAATGCTTCATTAGCATTTTTTAAAAAGTCAGCATTCCTCCAGTGGATTTTCACCCAATCCGCTTGGTTCGGACCATGAATCCTCTCTGCTCTGGTCTGGACCAGTGTAAAAATGAACACTGTACTGCAGCAACATCTCAGGCAGAAAAAAGCAATAAAAATAAAAATTGATTAAGCACAAAACAACAACTGTTTTAGAGCTACTTAGGACTTGCAGCCGTTTCCAGGCGCATCTTTCAAAAAAAAAAAAAAAATCTAGGCAATGGGGGTAAAGTGTCTTGCCTAAGGACACAACAGCAGTTTTGGCACTTTACCAAGCTCACCCAAAGATTCGAGGGGTTCGAACCCAGGACCTTCTTGCTAACCACTCAGCCACAGTGCTGCCCAAAGGAGCAATACGTAAAAATCTCACCAAAAGTGGTACTGCAACCTCTCCCACTCTCCCTGACTCGGGTTGCCAGATATGCAGACGAATCCAGCTTGGACCATAATAACTGAATAGACAAGAGATTTGTCAACAACAAATCTATAACCAACACCTTTTTCACAAGTGCCCCGAGAGAAATCTTATTTTGTCTTGAATTATTTAAGAATCACAACGAGACCTTTTTTATTACTGCGACCGTATGTTACTTTACCAGTGAGATTAGCTCGCCGCAGTGATTCACGGACTTTCTGATTGGTAAAACGGCGGAGGGCGGGACATTGAAATGAAAGCAATAACAAGTTTTAGGGGCTTTAAAACAAATTTTGAAATCCAAATATCTCGGCTGAACTACTGTTATCAGTCAAAGAAGTATTTCAAAAGAGCATGGTTTATTAATGCCTTTTGGCATATTAGGGCCATTTAATGATGACTTGACATGAAAATCTTACACATTGCTAGTTCATTGATACTACAGGGAAATATGGTTGAAGATATGTATTCTTTGTATATGAAAAACAAGTGAAGTTGCAGACATCACCTTTTTCAAATTTTGAAGTAAATATAACACAAATAATACGTCATATTGTTCGTCCATCTATCCCCCACAACTTTGTCCACACACTCCAATGTTCTAAAGCAGAAGTTTTGTGTGTTCTGAGCTGAGGACGCGCTCTCCCCTCTTTCCCCCCTTTCTCCTTTTCTCCGTCCCGTCGCGGTGCAGCTGATGTGGGGGACTGGGGCGCCCCCGCGGTGAGCCTCCCCTGTCAGCTGAGACAAACTGCAGCTCCTGGGAGTGCCCTAGATGCGACAGAGCTCCATCCGTCACATCAGCAGCGGAGGCAGAGGCGCACGGTGAAGGCCCGCGGTCACACAGACACGCACACCGCCGCGGGCCGCTCCTCTGCAGGTGCGCACCGCTAATGCACTTGTCCTTGATACCGACCGCCCTGCTCGCAAAGGCAAACACGTGCACGCCGCGCTCTAATTACCGTCATCTCTGTTATTTTCTACTAACAAACTGCAAATGTCAAACAAGCCCAAGATGCACAAGCACTTTTTTTTGCTCATGCTGCAGTTCCTGCGTCGGAATATAGACAGATAGATAGATACAGAAAGACACTTTTTTGACCCCCTAGAAGAAAAGCAGGTGTCCAGCAGAGGAAAACACATCATCAATACAAACAAATAAATACATAATTCTAAAAGTTGTTAGCAATAGTAATACAGTGCATGTGTTTGCCATATTGGTACATGTGTTATAGCAAAGGATTTCTTAAGACATTCCGTTCGGCAGGGCTGCGATGGAAACTTGTTGCAACAATTACCCAAGCCCCAGGGATCCAATATGGCGGCCCATTGAAATCATTGGCTGGTGCTCAGTAGCCCATGGGACCACAATGGGCAACGAAATATTAACAGAACTCGCCCATATTTAGGCATCCTCTGGTCCTCCCGCTTCTGCGCAGTGGACAGCTCCCATGATGTTTTGTGCCAAACACGCATGTATGGCTCTCATATCCATCCATCCATCCATCCATTTTCTTCCGCTTTATCCGTTGCCGGGTCGCGGGGGCAGCAGTCTAAGCAGAGACGCCCAGACTTCCCTATCCACACACACCTCCTCTAGCTCGTCCGGGGGGACCCCAAGGCGTTCCCAGGCCAGCTGAGAGACATCTCTCCAGCGTGTCCTGGGTCTTCCCCGGGGCCTCCTCCCGGTGGGACGTGCCCGGAACACCTCCCCAGGAAGGCGTCCAGGAGGCATCCTGAACAGATGCCCGAGCCACCTCAACTGGTTCCTCTCGACGTGGAGAAGCAGCGGCTCTACTCCGAGCTCCTCCCGTGTGACTGAGCTCCTCACCCTATCTCTAAGGGAGCGCCCAGCCACTCTGCGGAGGAAGCTCATTTCGACCGCTTGTATCCGCGATCTCGTTCTTTCGGTCATTACCCAAAGCTCATGACCATAGGTGAGGGAGGGAACGAAGATTGACCGGTAAATTGAGAGCTTTGCCTTTCGGCTCAGCTCCCTCTTTACCACAACGGTCCGATACAGAGACCGCATCACTGCGCACGCTGCACCGATCCGCCTGTCAATCTCACGCTCCATCCTCCCCTCACTCGTGAACAAGACCCCGAGATACTTGAACTCCTCCACTTGAGGAAGGACCTCTCCACCCACCTGAAGAGGGCAAGGCACCTTTTTCCGGTCGAGCACCATGGCCTCAGATTTGGAGGCCTCTCATATGATAAGATGAAATAAGATGAACTTTACTGTCCCAAGGGAAATTTGCTGTAGGGTACAGTGCTACACAGCACGTGCACAGAGGAGCACGGCAGCGTTCTGACCAATCAGCGGCTGCTGATAAGAGCGGAGATAAAGCGAGAGGTAAACAATCAGAGTTTGTTGCGCTAAAGTGTGGATTTATCAAAAACCAGAGGATTTAACAGGGTAAAAAAGTTTTAGTTTACATTGAGTTCTATGGGGAAAAAGTTGGGGTTGCCCAAGTGAATTTAGTCTGCAGTACCCAATGGAGCGACAGCTATAAGCTAGTAATACCCTATCCAGATATTATTATAGATCCATGCGGTTACCCCCTGAGCGTATTATGCAGAGGGTGTCTGGAGTTACTCAGAATGCTCTGCATGAGAACCCTTGTCCTTCTCTCCAGAACAGCTCCCACAGAGTCCACACTTCTCTCCATCACTGAATATTTCCTAATCAGCCTGTCGAGCCGCTTACTGTCTCCGGAGGTCAGACATGGAGCCAAAGAAAGGAGAGCTCTAAACAAGGTGCTCCGCTCTGAAAGAGGACTGTGAGGGATGAGCTGCCTGTTCTAGAGAATCCAGACTCTTAAGTCTGGATTCTCTAGAACAGGCAGCTCATCCCTCACAGTCCTGAACTCTTATGCCTTACTTTTTACCTCTCTTCTTTGACTGTTGCACCGAGCCAAAGCAATTTCCTAGTCTGTGACTTCCTGATACTTACAGGGCAATAAAAATGATTCTGATTCTGATTATGGTTTTGATTCTTATCAAACCGAGCTCTTAAGACACTTAAGATGCTTTTCCAGGGGTCACTCTTCTGGCCCCTGGAAAAGCCATGTTCCAGCTTCTTCCCTCTGGTAGAAGATATAGTGGGTTGAGATGCAGGACATCTCGCTTTGCTAACGGCTTCTTTCCACAAGCTGTTATCACTTTGAACAAAGCCCTTTAATAATCTTGTATTGAGGCTGTTTTAGTTGATTTCACAGGGTCAAGTGCTTCCCGTACTTTTTTAGTTTATTATATTCCTGTACTTTTAACCATGTTTTATTCATGTACTAGTCTGGTACACATTGGAGACTTTTACAAAAGTATTCCAATATGGTTTTACTGCAAATTGCAAATAAAATGAATCTATAGTGTGACAGATAATGAATGCTGTAAGCCAGGGCTAGACTGGGACAAAAAAACGGCCCGGGCATTTTTTCCTTTTTAGCGGCCCAGGCAACTCAAAAGGTTCAAGGAGCCATATTTGACAAAAAAAAAATAAAAAACAACAGCGTTGTATAAGGCTTATATGAAGGTAACAGGGGCTAAAGCTGTATTAGCTACATTAGCTACATTAGCTACCTTAGCTACATAAGCTATATTAGCTATATTAGACTAATATCTAAATGACAAAGTAAAGGCTAAACACATAAAAACCATTCATGATTATCAAATGTGTATTTTCATTGCAGCGTGTCCTGAGAGAATGACGCACCACGTGACAACTCTGCTTTAACTTTGACCTTCATTTTTTTGCCTTCATGCATTTGTACAAATACAGTAAATAAATCTGCTTTTTGGCTCCGAGTTCATCTGCATCACAGTCTGTTCATATCCATCACAGGCTGAAGTTTGCTGGAGCTGAATGTCCTTAATGGCCTTTTCTTTCACCGTCTTTGCGAAGGTATTTGAAGTCTGAAAATAGGTGCTCTCAGTGTAAGCGATTGATGTTGATGTTTTATTATGAATGAATCTTCATGAATGATAATGTGCATTTGGGCTTAGACTTTACATTTTTAACAAACCGGGCCAAGCATTTCAAATTTATATTTGGAATTATATTCTGTGCATTATTTTGAGGCTCAAAATTTGTCCTAGCTTGCAATTACAATGTACACAAGCTTCCAGAAAAGCTTTCATTGTTTCACAATCTTCAAAAAAAATGGCTATAATAATGTAATAAACATGGTATAAAGATTAGCTCAGTGAAAAGCAACTTGTGATGTTTGCCATTTCACACACATATTACGGATTATTTGCTGACATATTCCGCTTTATCTCTCTCTGCATATTTCTCTAGAAGCTCAAGTCCGATTTGCACCTGGATCTGTGCCGCTGCAGGTGCTCATCACCTGACAGGAGTCTTACTCCAAATGTGACGCTTAAAAATGTGACACTGAGAAACAGAGCACGGGCATTATAGACTACATGTTTTATTACTTCTAAATGTAAGCCTATTTATTTACAGATTCAGTTCAATAGGTATTGATTTTGCCTGGTTAAATGCTTCTTGCCAAGTTAACTACCTCTATTTTATGTCACTGGTCCCTTTAAGATTTAAGAAGTATAACAGGGCAATATGTTTAACAGGTCTACTGAAGCAGATAGGATTCACAACATGGTTCATCTACAAAGAAACACTTGTGCTATTTACCATATTTCCCAACTCACGTATTTACATGTTAGAAAAAACACTTCCAAAGTCAGCCACAACTTTCCTTCTCCCATCGTCTTTACACCACGTTTGTGATATAACATCTCAATGACACGCTCTTTTCAAGGAGAAGTCGGTGTTGAAAAATGGCTCCGACATTTGAATAAAAGAAGAAAGACTGAAAAAGAGAATTCATCAAACCTCCAGCAATTAGCATATGCAGCTGATTATCATATGAAACCAATCCAGGCCGAGCGATCTGCCTGCATGCTCTGCTTATGCCTTTCCCATTATCGCCCAGAGAACGCACCGATAACTCCTGCATTGTCTGCTCTATGCGCTCACCAAGACGTTCCCCTTCTTTTTCCATTACACCATGCTAAGCCAGACAGTTAATTATGACGGAACAGCGAGCCTACAGGTTTCTCGCCGATAACGATATACTTTGCCAGGCTGTAAAAACCCGTAGGGAGTCTTGTGATGTTGGGAAATCTGTCTTCTTACGAAAACGGGGGGAGAAACTCTGCAATTAGATGCGCCGTCGCAGCAGTGCGGGTCGGCCGGTGTTATGGAGGAGCACGGCCAGCAGCTCTAATGGGGCATTTAGGGCGATTATGATGAAGATGTCAAGGCGACCTCCCCCCGCCAAGAGGCCTTTTATCAGCGGTGCCTGGGAGTGCCGGATCACACAGGGCAAGCAGGAGCAACTAAAGAGCCAGTGTCCCGCGTGGAGGTCAGCCATCAGCCCCACTGCACTTAAGACGGGTATTCTCTGGTGGGTTTGGCGTCGAGAGGTGTTAAATGGTCTAATCTGTTGGCGTAGTTGACTTTTTTTAAGAGATGGCTGCGGATGGAGAGACGTAAACACTTCAGTGGTCAATTAGTGTCCATAAGTTTCCATTTAGCCTTATGTCGGACCCAGGAGAAGCACAAAGCTGATGTTATTTAAAGAGGAATGTTGGAAAGTGAGGTAAACGGCTTTGTTAAGTGTAGAAATGTGTAGGTGACACATGGGATAGTGATGGGATGATGTAAAGAAGAGAACACTGGCACAACTTTTTGCCTGTTCCTTTCACACTGAGCGACATATGCAAGTAGGTTGCATGGCCATACTTCATGTGAAAGCCAGATCCCACCAGACCTCTGAATCTGTGCAGGGCAGGGCCTGCCTCGACTCTATCAGCGTGCCTCAGGGCAGCTGTAGCTACATTAGTCGTTTATCACAACTGTGCATGGAGTA